GGGGGTGGGGGGGTAAGGCAAAAATAAGTTCATTACATGGAAGTGGTTGAGTATAAAGAGAAGAATACACTTACTGGTATGCTTCAAGGATGGCTCTTGGTTCCGGCCCCACCCTTAGAGACTTATTCCTTTGGTCTTAACACATAACCCCTGAGGACACATTTGAACTATTCTGATTCAAATTTGGAACAGTTCATTATGAAATTTCAGGGGTGAACTTTGAAACCATTTAAATCCCCACCCAGTAACCATCTATACAATTGCTGGACATAAAATGATGAACACAATACTAGAATTGACTCTCCCCACCGCATACCCATAAAGTATATACAATTGCTAAGTATGTAGAGATGGATACACATATGCTACAAGATGGTCCCGACTTGTTGCCCTATCACAGGAGGCTTTGTTTCTGTGTTGCAACCTCAAAACTGCTGAGACCCCATCCCCATAATCTTGTCTACAACGACGTAGCATAAAGAAACGATCATAATCATGATACACTTGTATAAGAAAAGACTCTGGGATCTGGCTACAACCTTAGGGACTTGGATTCTGGGTTACAAGTAGATCGAAAAGAAAAGACAGGAAATGAAAAATATCCAAAGTGTTGCAATGGGGGCAGCAGATCAATTTTGTTCTCTTCCATTTTCCCTTCATAGAAAACACAAAAAAACCCGGATAACCATGATATTAGAATAGACTCTGGGATCTGGCCACAGCCTTAGGGACTTAGATTCTGGGTTACAAGTTGGAAACAGTTGAGATTCCCACCCTATAAACATATACTAGTATGCGATTGCTGAGCATAAAGAGATGAAAACACATTTTCTTCCAGGATGTTCCTCAGGGTCTTGTCCACCCTTGAAGACTAAGTACGGGTCATAACTGTAGCCACATATAGAAATGCTGGGCGTGAAGGCAAAACCAATCATGCTAACAGAACTTGCTTTGGGGTCAGTCCCAACCTTTAGGGAATTAACCCCCTTGGTCATAATATGGAAACATAACAGATCCCATATCATTTTCTCATATTTAAGAGTGTTTTCATTTATGTTTCAATTAAGTTTTCAGTATATACAATATTTGTATGTCTAGTTTTACATCATGTTTTGTTTTTGTTTTCTATCTTCCCGGTTGGTGTTCACCAACGGTATCCATGGCCTGTCTTAGAAAGAACTCTATATTGGGTGTTGGTCCAGTTGGACACTATAACAACTGTAAATTACATAAAACAACAAAAGGGATCATGTCTCTAGCTGTGTATTTTGATTTGGAAACTTTTACAGGTTTGCATTCGGGGCAGATAACCCTGAGAGGAAAAAAAGAATCTAGTGGCAGACTCCCTTTCTCACTAGAAAAGGGTTCCCACAGAGAGTCTGTACTAGCAAGGTCAAGGTAATTAGGTCCAAGGTTAAATTCATTGTATGGGCCATGACTTTCGACTTGCTGAAAGCTCAATGAAATTTCAGTGATCAATGAAGAACGACAATGCAGTGTGTAGCAAACCACCCTATAACAAACCGCACTGCATTTTGGGCTGTTTGACTAGGGTCATGGTCCATTGCAGTTCAGAAGTGAAATACATTGTCTGGGCCATAACTTCTTGCTCAAGATAGCTCAGTGAAATTTTAGGGATATATATGTTGGATGGAAAGGTCACGGTGGGTCACATACCATTTTTGGGTCTGTACGTCCAGATCACAGAGTCAACACTTTATTTCAGTCTTGTTGACCTTTTCGGGGAGCATATCAATCAGTTTTACTGATTTTCTTGTTTAAAGCTTATTTATTATCTAGACTGCATGTTAGCTGATTGTGCCCATCAATGAGTTAGACTTCAATTTTAAACATGATTTCTTCAAAGAGCATCTGAGGAAAGTTTTGTTGTCTCTCATCCCTGCACCAGTGTAATTGGCCAGGAATAATTCAGCAAGTTATCTGAACAAGAGTATTTCCCCCCCTGTTGTTGATTGGTGGATGAATAGCCCTTCATATTCAGCTACAAAAAAACCCAGGGCTAAAAGGGGTTTAATTAATCAATTATTTACAACTATGGCTAGGAATAAGCAT